TGTTCCTTCTGGGAGGCTCTAAAGAAGAACCCACTCCCTTGCCTCTTTCAGCTTCGGGAGGCTATCTGCATTCCTTGGCTCATAGCCCCATCCTCCATCTTCAAAGCCAGCAGGATAGCATCCTCAATTCTCTCTTTGCCTCTGATTCTTCTGCCTTTCTCTTATGAGAACCTTGGTGATTACATTGGGCCCACCCAGATTATCCAGAATAATCCTCCCATTTTAGGACCCTTAATCACATCTGCAAATCCTTTTCCCACATAAGGTAACATATTCACAGGTTCCAGAGATTAAGACATTGTTGGGGTCCATTTTTCAGGCTGCTACAGTGAAAAATACATGTTCATTCTATTCCAGTGCCCATTTTATTTTGTGGATGGAACAATTGAACAAGTAAATGGATTAGCTAACATCATGCACTTGGATATAGCTTTAGAACCTTGTCATCTCATCTAAGTCGATCATCTGTTCTATTTCCAAAGTCTGATCTTTTCTAACACTCACCACAATTGTGTTTGTTTTGTTTACCTATTGCCACAAGGATATGTCACTTTGATTCACCAAGGTGTGGCACCACACAGCTCTGTGGCTGACACATAGTGCACATCAATAAAAGACATTTTTAATGAGAGAATGAATATTCCATGATATGCTTGGTTAAGTAGGATCAATCTCCTATGGATTATTCTGTGCAGTGGCTTCTGACAGGTTGAAAATTCTTAGTTATTTCTAAAGCATCAGTGGAGAAAGAAAACTGCAGTGTTGACCCATAATTCAAGGTGACAAAAAAAAAAAAAAATTAAGTCCTACATCTGGTACTATGCTTGCACCTCTTCCACTAGTGCTGAACTATCCTTCCTAGGGTGCTGCACAGCACGGTGAATCTGAACATGCCAAGGAGCTCTGGTGGCAGAGTGCCTACAATATTTGACTGCTGACTAGAAGGTTGGCAGTTCAAACCCACCAGCCACTCCATGGAAGGAAGACTGGGCAGTCTACTTCCATAAAGATTTACCACCTCAGAAACCCAAAGTGGGTAGCTGTGAATCAGAATCAACTCAGTGCAGAGAG